GATAAGCATTAGTGCATATTTTCATTATTTTTTCTTCTGCAACTAACAGTACCTGAATAATGAATTTTCAAAAACAAAGATTCCAGGTTATTTGTATAAAACAAAGATATACATATAAGCATGTTCACTGCAGCAGTGTTTTAAAGATAAAGCCAGAAACCAACCCCAAAATCCATCAATAAGAAACTGGTTAAAGCATATCATATTATGGAATACTTTGAATCATAAATGTGATGGCTCCATATATTATTGTATCGGAACATTTTCACACTGCTGATAAAGACATACGAAGACTGGGCAATTTACAAAAGAAAGAGGTTTAATGGACTTACAGTTCCACATGGCTGGGGAAGACTTCACAATCATGGTGGAAGGCAAGGAGGAGCAAGTCACATCTTATATGGATGGCAGGAGGCAAAAAGAGAGCTTGTGTAGGGAAACTCCCCTTATAATACCATCAGATCTCGTGAGACTATTTACTATCACAAGAACAGCATGGGAAAGACCTGCCCCCATGATTCAATTACCTCCCACTGGGTCCCTTCCACAAACCTGAGAATTCAAGATGAGATTTGGGTGGGGACACAGCCAAACCATATCAATTGTAAAGTACAAAGATATCCAACATTGTAAGAAAAAAAAAAAAAATCAAGGATGTGTAGTATGATTGCATCTGCATAAACACCAATACCTGTGTGTAGGTTTTTATATGTATGTTAAAAATTTCTGGATGAATATGAGAAACTCTTAACAGTGATTTACTTACACAAAGGTAGTCTCAAATCTGAATTTACGTGGATTTCTAGTAAACTATTTATGGCAAGTCTCATATGCCCTCTTTTCTCTGGCTTAAAAAAAAATTCATGTTGGAAGTACTTCTTAAAGAGTTTGTAGATCCATGCAACGCACTCTATAAACAACAATGAACATCTGCCCAAATCTACTGTATAAAGTAGTGATCATGCGGAAGGAGATGGATACAGGGAAGCACACATCCCTTTCCTTCTTTCAGCATCTCAGAGATTGGCGAGTTGCACATGTGAGCAGTGTGGTGTAGAGGTAGAAAACAGTTAAAACTCATTGGCTCAGTCATTTAATCATTTCAACAATGTGAATGTCTGTCTATTCCTGTACTCAATTTGCACCTTGCTAGGCACTGAGATATAATGAACAAAACTGATCCAGTTCCTACCTTCCTAGAAGGCTCTAGTCTAGTTTGAGAGAAAGATATGTATCAAACAATCACAGAAGTACATTAAAATTGCAACTGTGCTTTGCAAAGGAGAAGATTCTTTAGACATTAAAATGTATAGTACCTCAATGTGTTTGTGGCAGGCCACCTTAATCTTTTTTTTTTTTTTTAAAGAAGACAAACACTCTTAAAAAGCTAAATATTCTTTAATTCAGTTTCAGAAAGCTCTTTCTGCAGATGAATTTTGTATGCTTTCCTTTGTAAGACAACAAAAATCAAGTTTCCCTTTCTATTTATTTTAGTTGCCAAATTCAGTGCTGATGTTATTAAATATTCTAACTCAGGTCGACAGAAGTACTTCTACCTATAATCCTTAGTAGTTCTATTTTATCTATGATTTAACCCTGCATACCTGTTCAAGTAATTTTGGAAAAAATGCACATTTACCCTACCCAGTCTGCATGCCTATAGAAAGCCTAGCATATTACTCCAAGGAGCTATAACTCAAGTGACCACTGCTCACCATCTATTTGCCTCTAACAGTTAAACTTTAAGTACAGAATATTTGTGGAACTAATGTTTTAGTATGTCCCAACATCATAAACCTAGGATAACAAATCGCTATATTTTCAAAGGTAGAAAAATGTCAAGAAAAATACCTTCCTTTGAAAATGGCACACATGTAGAATTCATCCAATATTAGTGCAGTGCCTGGCAAAGTGGTATGTTTTAAGCATACTACAATAAATAGGATACATTTCCCTTATTTCAAGGAATTCAGAGTATAGTGATAGGAAGGCGGAAAAAAACCCAGGATTTAGTGTGGTATGTTTCAGTAATTAGCATGTAGAAAATGCTATAAGAGATCAGAAATGAGATAAACTACCTCTGCCTATAGTCAGAAAGGCTCCACAGAGGAATATTTACAATAAATTCTAATGTCAGCCAAAAGAAACTATTTGAGTATGACCCTCTTAACCATGACCTTTTAAAAACACAGCTATTTTTTCTTTTTGTTTTTTTTGGGGATGGAGTCTCGCTCTGTCCCCCAGGCTGGAGTGCAGAGGCGCAATCTCAGCTCACTGCAAGCTCCACCTCCCGGGTTCATGCCATGATCCTGCCTCAGTCTCCCGAGTAGCTGGAACCACAGGCACCCACCACCATGCTCGGCTAATTTTTTTTTTGTATTTTTAGTAGACGGGGTTTCACTGTATTAGCCAGGATGGGCTTGATCTCCTGACCTCGTGATCCGCCTGCCTTGGCCTCCCGAAGTGCTGGGATTACAGGCGTGAGCCACCGCGCCCAGCCAAAACACAGCTATTTTTATAATTTTTTTTTTTTTTTTTTTAGACAGTCTCACTCTGTCACCCAGGCTGGAATGCAGTGGTGCGATCTTGGCTCACTGCAACCTCTACCTCCAGGGTTCAAGCAATTCTCCTGCCTCAGCTTCCCAAGTAGCTGGGACTACAGGTGCACACACACCACCACATCCGGCTAATTTTTTTTTATAATGATTTTTACGGATACTGACTGACCCACAGAGTCACAAAACAATTTCTATACTCGAAGGACCTTTTGTCATGTGAATCTCAGGTTTATGATAGGTGGGAAAAAAATGATAATTTGTATTACATCACCCCAGAATCAACAGAATTCCAAAATTTATCATTTGTAAATATGAAAAGCAGATTTGAATGTAATACTGTGTGATCCAAATGTTTACAATAAATTTGGTGAGAAAACCATATGTTGTGAGGGGAAAAAAAAACTATCTGGGTCTGTGATAGTTTCAAAATTATATTTACGGCAACAGTGCATAGATATACACAGGCAATAAAATCAGTCTGTCTTTTAAACAGATCTAATAGGTGTAAAATTAGACAAAAAGATAAATGCCCAGAAAAAAACTTCCTGAACCATCAACCTTATAGATCAAATTTACAAAGAACTTGATTTTTATTTAAATTAAATAAAGGAAAAAGAAACCCAATAAATGCATGCAAAAGCCAGATTCACTGACAAATACAGCAGACAACAGAATCAGACAAGCCTCTACAAAATCACCTACAAGACATTAAACTTCATTTAAATTAGTTTCTTGTATTATTGTGCTGTCGGTTTTCAAAGGCTTGAAGTCATATAAAAGCTCTAGGTACAAGTCCAATTTCTAAATCAATGATACTGAAAGTGTGAAGTTACCACATTTTCTTCTCTCTTTTGGTTGCTATCATAGGTGTTTAACAAAGAAGTTGTTTTTATTTCTTAAGTAGGTAAATCAAAGTACTTTGAATCAAAATTACCTAATAAAGATACTAAGCTTTCAGCTCAAGTTAGAGGCTGATGCTTCACAACTACCTGAAATAATCCCCAAATGCTAGGATTATCATAGAAAAATGTGCTTAAGAAATTAAAATCAATGCCATATTTTTAGAATCAACCTATTGGTTGATAAAAGGTCAGTGTACAATTCAGGTCCTGAAATGTGAATGGCATCAAATCCACATTTCAGGTGGAGAAACAGAAGGGAAAAATACAGTAAATGATCAGAACTTGCCCAAGGTCACAGGCGAAATTAGCAAAACTAGAAGCACATTCAGATTATTGACTCCAAGGAGACTGTTCTCTTTGTGACAGTAATTTCATGCATCTGATTCCTTCTGTGTAATTTAGACAACTAAGTCAGACATGTATATTTTTAGGTTAAAGAGATGCTGCCTGATAGAAAAATGCCCTTTTGAGAGCCAAATTCTATTTGAACTTCCCTTTTAAAAGTATCAAATTCTTTCCATCATCACATCCAAATGAGAATTTAGATAGAAACACTGAAGACAATAATTTATTTTAATTAGACTCATTAAGAATTAAACATTAGATTTCCTTTTATTCACTCAGAATTTAAGAAAAATGTACTAATTTTTAGCCCTTGATATTCGTTTTCTTTTTAAAGAAAGGTCCAGGCCGGGCATGGTGGCTCACGCCTGTAATCCCAGCACTTTGGGAGGCCGAGGCAGGCAGATCATGAGGTCAAGAGATACAGACCATCCTGGCCAACGTGGTGAAACCCCGTCTCTACTAAAAATACAAAAATTTGCTGGGCATGGTGGCGTGTGCCTGTAGTCCCAGCTACTCAGGAGGCTGAGGCAGGAGAATCGCTTGAACCCGGGAGGTGGAAACTGCAGCGAGCCGAGATCATGCCACTGCACTCCAGCCTGGTGACAGAACGAGACTCCGTCTCAAAAAAAAAAAGAGAAGGAAGAAAGAAAGAAAGGTCCCAATAAACACGAGCATTTCGCATTCTTGTTAACAACACAGCATTCTCTAAAATCAAACACAAAAACTCCAGATTTCTTTGAGTCTGCAGAAGAGAGCTTGGCATTTTAAAGAAAAATGCTCACAACTGTAAAGGTCTAATGATGAACCACGTAATTTCCCTTCAACAAATTAAGACGTATTAAAGAGAAAAATGTTTATAATGAAGATGGGTTACTTTACCCACTTGAGACAATATTTATCACAATTAAAGGATAGCAAAATAACAAGACGCTGAAATGCTCTTCAAATCTTGTCAAGCCACAAATATAAAGGTAAAATAGTGGTATATATTACTTATCTTTATTTTTAAAAGTAGACCGAATAAGACAAATCCAAGTTTGGCTCATACATCCTATTCTGATGACAAATCTATGTACACTTGATGAAATACCTTGGCTATTAAGCTCTGGTTAACCTCTATCTTGATTTTTCTTTCAGAATCAAGCATTATGTTTATCAAGGCATGCAAACAGCTCTCTTTAGCTCCCAGTCTTACCTGCTGAATCTTCCAAATCAATCAGTTTGGGCATTAAGCTTTCAGGAAGTTTTTCTGGTAAATCATAGCCATTCTTCCTAGCAACCACCAGATGAAAAGCAGCACAAAACTCATCCAGTGTCAATGCACCATCTTTATCAAAGTCTGAGAGTTCCCTAGAAGATAAGTTTCTTGTCAATATAATCACATTCCGCTTTGGATCCTTTCATTTCTCAAAAAGAAGCAAGAGAAATATTTTCCATGAGAAAGTGCAAAAACTCAGTAATTATAAAAATCCCATACACGGAAAGATGTGTAACACAGCAAATGTAGCAAAATGTTACCTGCAGAATCTAGGTGGTAGTATGTGAGGGTTTATGGTACTATAAAGCTTTCCTGTGTGTTTGAAATTCTCTAAAAAGTGGCCCCAATAATTAAGGTCATCAAAAAGAATGACCTGTAACTCACATGCATTTTTAGAAGGCACATGTAATAAATTAGTGACATTTTTTAAAGTTTGCTTTTATGTTATCAAAATTCACCATGTATGTACTTTATTTTTTGTTTATATTTTTTTGAGATGGAGTCTTGCTCTGTCGCCCAGGCTGGAGTGCAGTGGCATGAGCTTTGGCTCACTGCAACCTCCACCTCCTGCCTCAGCTTCCTGAGTAGCTGGGATTACGGACACACGCCACCATGCCCGGCTAATTTTGGCCAGGCTAGTCTCAAACTCCTGACCTCATGTGATCCACCTGCCTCAGGCTCCTAAAGTGCTGGGATTACAAGCGTGAGCCACTGCGCCCAGCCAACATGTACATACTTTAAATCACTGAGTAGAACTGCAAGGCTTAAAACAGAAATACAGCCACTCCACCTTGCTGTCTATGCCCTTTCCTAGATACACAGACAACCACTTTTGTCTTGATTGCCTTAAACTATAAATAGCATGCATATATTACTAGTTTTTGAGTTTTCAGTTTTAGGTGTTATCTACCTACCTTGTACTAAGCACACTATGCTACCAAAAACCTATTAAAAATGATTTAGAATATAGAGAAATACATTGATACACACTGGAATTAACATTTATGTTTATTTGATAATCGTTTTTTACTTATTTTTGAGACAGAGTCTCACTCTGTTGCCCAGGCTACAGTGCTGTGGTATGATCTCAGCTCACTGCAAACTCTGCCTCCTGGACTCAAGCAATCCTCCCATGTAAGCCTCCCAAGTATCCAGGACTACAGGCTTGCACCACCACACCTTGCTAATTTTTTAATTTTTTGTAGAGACGGGGTTTCATCACGTTGCTCAGGTTGGTCTTGAACTCCTGGGCTCAAGCAATCTGCCTGCCTCGGCTTCCCAAAGTGCTGGAATTACAGGCGTGAACCACAACTCCCAGCCTGTGTTTTCTGTTTGTTTTTGTTTTTTTGAGACAGAGTCTCGTTCTGTCACCTTGGCTGGAGTGAAGTGGCGCGATCTTGGCTCACTGCAACCTCCACCTCCCGGGTTCAAGCGATTCTCGTGCCTCAGCCTCCCCAGTAGTTGGGATTACAGGCATGTGCCACCATGCCCGGCTAATTTTTTTGTAGAGACAGGGTTTCGCTGTGTTGCCCAGGATGGTCTCAAACTCCTGAGTTCGGGCAGTTCGCCTGCCTCGGCCTCCCAAAGTGCTAAGATAACAGGCATGAGCCACCGTGCTCGGCCCCTGCCTGTTTTTATAAAGTAATTTGTGATTACACTTTGTGTTCTAATGGCCAATTCCAACCATATTCCAACACAGCTATTCTTAAGTCTCTGGTCAAATGGAAGCTAACACCATTCCTAAAGTTCTGGCATGGTATAGGACTTAACTAAACTTGATAAAACACCAATGGGATAAATATAACCATGTATGTGCAAACTAACTTTTATCTCATGCAACAAAAAGACAGCTGATGCAGCTTAAAGAATTTTAGCTCTTTACAAAGAACTACTGTATCAGTATCACTTATTTCTTTTCTGCAGAATGAGAGAGAAGCTGGCTATTGTAAGGAAATACTGAGTTCTTTGACAGCATTCTTGAAGGGTTAGTTGTTTATTTTTTAAGGCTCTAAAATCTATCTGCTAGAAACTCCTTGGAAACAACCCAGTCACCCAACTAATGATATACCACACTTACCAAATATGAGAAAGTTCAAGAATAGGAAGTTTTGATTTTGTAAAAAACTCTTTAGCTGCAGATCCTGAAATATTAAAACAGTGTTGTTTAATGTTATTCTGAACTTACGGATCCACCAACAGAATGTAAGAGTCTTAGACTTTTTTAACTGGGAAAAGATATTTTTAATATGTGAATATGTCATGTTTTTGGCTCCCAGTGATTATAAATTCTTTTTAGACAAATAATCTGATAATTATTTTATAATTAAAATCTATGACCAATAAAACAGTATCTTTGAGATTATGAAATTGAGACTGTCCTGTCCCATCTAGAAGAACTTCTGTTTTCAACAACTCACCTGGAATAAATCCGTTTAGATCAGGCTGAATGGTTTTAAACTGATTTACATAATACTGTCTTTGTTCATCTGTTATTTTCCAGGGATCATCATAACTACTGGATTGCCTACGAATTTCAATGGCAGATGTAGCTGATGCTACAGTTCGTACTGTTGTCTGGTCCTGTAATGAAACATTTTTTCCTCAGTACAGTATCTACCTACATGATTATATGGACCAAGATTGCTAGGTTATTTATCTTTGAAAATAAAACTTGCTTTTGTGGATATTTAAAATGTAAAACCACATATCTGTTACAGTCAGATTATTGGATATGTTTTTGCACAATGATTATAGAAATGAGTAGAATGACAGCAATTATGCAAGCAACAGAAAGTTATGAAAATGTGCTAAGAAAGCCAAGCAAATATATTTCCAGATGCAGAAACCTTTCAAAACTTCACTAGCAAATCAGAAACTGAAATAAAATCAGCTGAAACATTCCAATGATAACAGATTTGAAATGCACAGAGCAGAATTTTGCTTTTAAATAAATGAATGGATTTGCATTTATAAAATCTGCAACAGCAAAATATAAAAATGATGACTGGAGCAATACTCTGAATGAAGCAAATAAAAATGCAATACCAATAAAATGTCACACCTGGACAGAAGCAGGATGCATGGTTAAAAGAGTACTGGTTGGTGGAGTATCTGCAAAACTGACCCAGTTTTCTTGAGGTGGAGGTGGGGAATGCCCTGACCACACTGCATCACCAGCAGAAGAACCTATAAGGAGAATGGGTAAACATGCTGACTCATGTTTGAGGAAAAAACTTAAGTTATCAGGAAGTTTTCTTTCAAACTCTTACTCTGAAGAAATCTAACAATTTCCAAAATGGAATCTTTTCTGTTCAATTAGAAATTATACCTCATTTAAATATCTTCAATTATTTTGTGCTCTCCTTGTCAATAAAATTTATGTAATTTATACATAATATTCTGGGAAATAATTATTCATTTTACCTTTAGAGAATCTGGTATCCATAAATGTGTCTAAGCATCATAGATACACATAAATGCAATTACCACTTTTCAAAGCAATGTATCCACTTATAAATCTCCATAGTTGGCTTTTGCTTTTATTTAACTTAACTTACAATTAAAAACTGTCTTGAAGGCAACTCCTGAAGGAATATTATCAAGTTTCCTTCAATTTACAACCCTAAATAATTGTTATTTTTAAAAAATCTCTAAGCCAGGTTCTGTGGCACAAGCCTATAATCCCCACCTACTCAGGAGGCTGAGGCAGGAGGATCATTTGAACCCAAGAGTGCAAGACCAGCCTGGGCAACACAATGACACTCTAATCAATAAATCTCTAAATACCTGATTGTGCTTCACCAAAGGGAGACCAAAATGGCCCAGGTCCCGCAAGAGGCCTCTCACTATTCCCACCACTGGGATGACGGCTGTGCTTCCTCCATGTGTGTGGAGAAGTTGGTGGTGATTGCTGTGGTGAAACTACTGGGGAGGCAGGTTCCTAGAAAAGAATAATATTTTAAAATTGTAATTTTAAGGAGACATGTTAATTATTAAGCTACCAATAAATGTTTTAGTGAAGCATTTGCACAGGGCATCAACTGCTAATATTTACATGCATGTGATTACCTGTGCATCTGCAGATGTACGAGGCTGAACCGTATCATGGCTTACGGATCCCTTTTTCACTTGCCCCCTGCCAGGTGGTGGGGGAATTACACCAGAATATGACCCTTGATTTTCAGAATCTGAAGAATATGAGGCTGCATGGCGAGATTCCTGTTCATTTTTTGAAGCAACAAATCTTGGCAGAGGAAGGTCCTTTACTGTTAACCACAAAATAATCATTACTTTAAAATAAAAAAGGACATATATATTAAAAACTAAAGACATGAATTAGATACCAGAATTTTTGTAAAACTGGATACAAAAACAAAAGGCACAAAATGTCTATCACCACAAAATATGGACCATAATCTCCCTTACATTATTTAGGGAGACTCTTACCTAGAAAGAAGTAATAAAACCAAATTGTCCTTCTAGTGAGTGATAACACAATGGCTATATCAAATGTCTATGTATGTTTAGCCCTACACTTGTCATTGAATATTTATTTCACCTTGTAACCACAGTACGCCTGCAAAGTCCCTATTTACAGAAAAGAAAACTGAGGTTTCATGATGGCAAGGTCATGCTCGTAGTAACTGACAGGATCTAAACCTAGGTCAGTCAGACCCCAAAGCCTAGGCTGCTTCTACTCACACCGGGTCTTTAAAGTAAGCTTTTAGACCTCTAAGTAAAACACAGAATATGTCACTAAGTCTGAGACTAGATTTAGAAATTTTCATGGCAGAAATTCCTAAAAATACCTTACTGTTCACCTACCAAAAACATGGTACACAGTATTCTATTCTACATTCAATTTTAAATAGAGGAGAAAGAGGAAGGACTGAAAAACTGTTTGCAGGTAAATCATAAGTGATACTTTTAGACCAGAAAAAATACAGCTACAGAACCATTTCAGAGGAAAGTGTACTTACCTCCATTATGATTACCTCTGTCTCTCTTTAGAATCTCCATATGAAGGAGGGAAACTATTAAGCTTATTCAATATACATGTAAAAGAATTCAAAATTACCTGAAAAGAATGTAAACTCCCAACACTAGAAGAAAGATGTGTGGCAAACTAGAGGTCCACAATGAAAACCTCCGCTGACCAATAAACTAAACTGCTACTTAAAACTATTTCTACAAATTCTGATATTTACAGAATTTTACAGCAATTTTTCTGTACAGATTATTTTAAAAATCTTAATTTTTCTCTTTCCCCTTTACGCTATGAAAACGAAAGAACCCTCTGCATTTAAGTGCCTATCTTTGTAGACTTTCTATCTTCTTTCACATCAACAAGTCTCTAAATACTTGAAAAACAAATTATCTGATGATGTAACACTTTGATACGGTTTGACTCTGTGTTCCCACCCAAATCTCATCTCGAATTGTAATTCCCACATGGGAGGTGATCAGATCATGGGGGCAATTCCCCCATTGCTGTTCTTGTGATAGTGAGTGAGTTCTCATGAGATCGGATGGTTTAAATGTCTGTGGCAATTCCCCCTTGCTCTCTCTCTCTCTCTCCTGTGGCCATGTAAGACATGCCTTGCTTTCCATTCACCTTCTGCCATGATTGTAGGTTTCCTGTGGCCTCCCAAGTCATGCGGAAGTGAGTCAATTAAACCTCTCTTGTTTATACATTACCCAGTCTCAGGGATTTCTTTATAGCAGTGTAAAAACGGACTAATACAAAATTGTAATGCGGTCAGATGTCTGTAACTAGATTTTAGTCTGCCAATATTTTAATATTGTCTCTATCAATCAAAAAGTTTAGGTTAACTGTTACTTCTTAATTTCAACTGCAGCCTCCATAGCCTTCCCAAACAAACAAACAAAAATACAAAGTATAATGTTGTTTTATTAGAAATGAAGAAAACAGGGATGCTATATATGAAGATGGTCACTATAATTTATCATTTACCTTAATAAAACTATTCGCTTAAAATATTTCTAAACAACTTTTAGTAAATTCTTAAAAATTTGCCATTTGAACAGTACATACAGTCAAATACAGATGAAGTACATATACTATGCCGTAATAAAAGACAGACATATTTTTCTAGTATTTTCAAGTGAGAAATGCAAGGTAGTGGGAATAAAGTCACGACACTTCACTCAAGGTCACAAATGCCACTATAAGATCGGAAAGACACAAGGGTTCTATTGACTTGACTTCATTTGTAATAGAAGCCTGTTTTCTTTCAGTTACTAGTGTACTCTATATTTACCTGTATTTATACTTTCCACTCTTAAAGGGAAACCAGACTGGGCAACAGCTACAAGTTTCAAAGCAATGTAGAACTGACTTCTTCCAAAATAACCAAGTCTTGTTGCACCACAAAGCTCCATGATCTATAAGATAACATAATGTTAACATTAAGATTGACGACAAAATTCTCCCTTCAAAAATAAGCAGCTACCCAACTTGTTTGTAACGTCTAAAAATATCTATCTAATAGATGGTTTAACACAACTGACAACCAACTTCCTCAAGTTTCAGGTTCATATGTTTACAAACAAAAAGTCACCGCTTTGCAGTAAGGTCACCGTTCTCCTACTTATCAAAATCCATACAATTAGCAATTCTCTTAGAAAAAATTTTTTGTTACGAGTCACGTACCACCCACTCTTCTTCATAAGCACTGCACATACAATACAACCACGTGACTAAGAGACAATTATGCAGCCATTTAAAGTGATAGTCTTTAAATGACGTAACAACATGGAAAAATGCTAAGGATTCATCAAGTGGGGAAGAAAGGCAATATACATAATTTTAACCATAAAAACACAACTTTGGAAACTATTAAAAAAAAGTCTATCACAATTTTTTAGGTGAGATTAAGAGTTGGATTTTTCCCTCTTATTTTCCAAATGTATTTAATATGGCTACACTACTGTTCTTTAAAATGAACAAAATTTGTCTGTCCTTTTATTTAAAGCATGAAAGTGTTCAAGGATCTACATTAATCATTCCAGTCTTTCAACAAGTATTTCCAGACTTGCTAGCGCAAGAAAATATTACATTCGAAAAATAGGATTTCAGATTACAAAATTATAACTCTAAAAGCTGGAGGTTTCTACTATGCAGATATTATAATCTTATCTTAAACACTAAGTACCCCTGTTGTATCTTTTCAAATAATACAAATTTTTGTATAGAGAGAGCAGTTTTAGTCTGTTTTTCCAAAACGCTCAAAGGAAGATAAAGTATCTGAGACGCTGTGGTATTAAGTCCGAAGAAAAGTATTCACAGGACTTCAAAAAAAGCACCTATTAATGATTAAGCAATTGTATCACAACAATAATAACCATTTGTTTACATATACAAAAAGAGTCATTTTTGCTGGCTGACCAGCACTCAAAGAAGTTCCTGTTCCTGCCACTAAGGAGGATGTCCTTCTGAAGAAATTTAAAAGGGCTAAGAGAACAAAGAGGCAGGCTACACCATTAAGGGAACTATGAGGAAAAGGAGAGTTAAAAAAGGAAGGCCACTCGGCCTCAATCCTCTACTCTTTTCTGCCCACTTGACGCCTCGCAGAGGATCATTACATATCTCAGATACTTTTGTTTATATAACAATGCATCTAATGTATGCCAGGTATCTGCTAGACAGAGGGAAGACCTAAAAGGAGTTCACAGTATGGTTTGTTGACATTTTGGGAAGACACCAAGGAAATGGTTAGAAATGAGGAGGCAGTGTTCAAGAAGGGAGACAGAATCTCAATGCTGTTTTAATTGGTATTTATTAAAAGTTCTATATTTGTTAGTCATTTGCATAGAAATGCAAAAAAATTTCCTGACTTGCCCAACTTGTTCTCTGGCAATTTTTAATGGATTGTTAATCTTCTTTATTCATTTTAAGAAGTTTTATTATGGCCGGGGACAGTGGTTCATGCCTGTAATCACAGCACTCTGGGAGGCCAAGGCGGCCCAGGCCAATCACTTGGGCCAGGCATGGTGGCTCATGCCTGTAATCCCAGCACTCTGGGAGGCCGAGGCGGGTGGATCACGAGGCCAGGAGATCGAGACCATCCTGGCTAACACGGTGAAACCCCATCTCTACTAAAAATACAAAAAATTAGCCGGGTGTGGTGGTGGGCACCTATAGTCCCGGCTACTCGGGAGGCTGAGGAAGGAGAATGGCGTGAACCCGGGAGGTGGAGCTTGCAGTGAGCTGAGATCATGCCACTGCACTCCAGCCTGGGCGACAGAGCAAGACTCTACCTCGGAAAAAAAAAAAAAGAGTTCAAGACCAGTCTGGCCAACACGGTGAAATCCGTCTCTACTAAAAATACAAAAGTTAGCCAGGTGTGGTGGTGTACACTGGTAATTCTAACTACTCAGGAGGCTGAGGTGGGAGGATTATTTGAACCCAGGAGGTGGAGGAAGCAGTGAGCCGAGATCAAGCCACTGCCCTCCAGACTGGGTGACAGACTGAAACTCCGTTTCATTAAAAAAAGGTTTTATTATATCATACATATTGACCTGCAAACTCTCACAGAATTCATTCATTTATTCAATGACTATTTACTGAGCACCCACAGGAAGGAAAGACCGGAGTGTAGCTGTAAGTGTGTGTAGTTTAAGTGTGTGTAGGATTGATGGGGAGGAGGGAATGCAGCAGATGGAGCTGATGACTTAGGGAGAAGCCAGATCATATTGTACACGTTGTTTTCTAGTTTATCTGTTTTTTCCAAAAAAGCTGTTTTGGTGATACAGAATTTTCCATTTTTATACAAGCTTATAATTTCCCCCTTTTAGGACTTTTGAGTTTGCTAGACTTAGAAAAAAGGTCTTTATACATGTTTTCTTCTAGAATGTTTATGATTAATATTGAAAATATCCAAATCTGACAAAACTGGAATTTATTTTGGAATGAGAAGCAAACCAGATATCCTTTTGATCCTCCTCAATAGTTAACCATTGAGGCCAGGAGCAGTAGTTCATGCCTGTAATTGCAACACTCTGGGAGGCCAAGGTAGGAGGACTGCTTGAGGCCAGGAGGAGTTCAAGACCAGCCCTGGCAACATGGTGAGATCTCATCTATATGAAACAAAAATTGAGTTAAAAATTAACTGGATGTGGTGGCACATGCCTGTAGTCCCAACTACTCAGGAGGCTGAGGTGGGAGGATCACTTTTGCCTACAAGTTTGAGGCTGCAGTAAGCTATGATGGTGCTACTTCACTTAAGCCTGGGCAACAGAACAAGACTCTGTCTCCCCTGCAAAAAAAAGAAAAAGTTAACCATTTATTAAAAAACTCTTTTCTCCATTAACTTGAAAAGCAACTCCTATATTTACATGTGCTTATTTCTAGGCTCCTTATGTTACAGTTTTGTATGCTAGTCCTGGAGCTGTAACCCAGTGTTTTAATTACTTTAGCTTTATAATATTTAAACATCTGATAGGATTAGTCCACCCTCGATTTTTCTGCTGTTTAGAAATTTCTGAATTATCCTCATATATTTATTCTTCTAAATAATCCTTAGAATCATTTGTCAGAATAAACTGAGATTTTATTTGGGATAGCAATTGATTTATGGTCTTGTTCCAAACTTTAACAAGATCACTTCTAGTGTTTTATCACTAAGCATGATACCGGCTAACACTCTGCCAACACCTTTGGTTAAAGAAACTCTTAAGGCCGGGAGCGGTGGCTCACGCCTGTAATCACAGCACTTTGGGAGTCGAGGCGGGCGGATCACGAGGTCAGGATTTCGAGTTCAGCCTGACCAACATGGAGAAACCTTGTCTCTACTAAAAATACAAAATTACCACTGGGTGTGGTGGCACATGCCTCCCACGCCTCTAATCCCAGCTACTCAGGAGGCTGAGGCAGGGGAATCACTTGAACCCGGGGGGCAGAGGTTGCAGTGAGCCAAGATCGTGCCATTACACTCCAGCCTGGACAACAAGGGGGAAACTCTATCTCAAAACAAAACAAACAAAAAGCTAGTTCTAGTTCTGTTCTTCTAAGAATCTTGTTTTGGGTTTTATATTTTCAAAAACCACTTAAAGATGTTAATTTTATCATATGTGGATTTTGTGCAGAAAACTAAAAGATCATAATTTTCTCTTTGGCCCACTGATATTACTAAGTATATTAAGATATAAGTAAGTATATTAACAGATTTCCTAACATAGAACCATCCTTTGATTCGTGGAATGAATTTCATTTAGACGTGGTGTATTACTTTCTCAAATAATATTTATAAAATATTTTAACCACAATCTTAGAATAATTAAGTTTCAAAGCATACATAATCTTTGCCATGCTTTGGAGTTGGTGTTATACTGGCTTTTTCAGCAGAACTTGCGAACTACTTTTTTCTCTCTGCTCTGAAATACTTTAAATAGATTAGGAATTAGGTGTTTCATGAAGATTTGAAATAATTCACCAGTGATACAGGTGAGGCAATAGCTCTCATATGTTTTTTAGTTTCTTCCATTCTATCTGAAATAAGCTAGGTTTACTATCTCTAAGATTTGATAATTTCCTAGAGAATCATTTATCATCTCCAAATTTTACAATTTCTTAGTTGAGCATCATTCAAAGCAATCCCATTCTTTTAATTTCCTTTTATGGTAATTTCCTCTTAATCTTAATTATGCATATTTGTATGCAGTTCACTCTTTCTCTAGCACAGTTATCTGACCATGGGGACCACTTGAAATACCTGTTAGGATCGGGAGCGGTGGCTCACGCCTGTAATCCCAGCACTTTGGAAGGCTGAGGCGGGCGGATCACGAGGTCAGGAGATCGAGACGAGCCTGACCAACGTGGTGAAACCCCGCCTCTACTAAAAATACAAAAATTAGCCAGGTGTGGTGGTGCACGCCTGTAATCCCAACTACTCGGGAGGCTGAGGCAGGAGAATCACTTAAACCCAGGAGGTGGAGGTTGCAGTGAGCCAAGATTGTGCCACTGTACTCCAGCCTGGGTGACAGAGCGAGACTCCGTCTCAAAAAAAAAAAAAGAAATACCTGTTAGGATACAGATTCCCAAACTGTTCCCATTAGATTTCTAACTCACCAAGGAAATCTAAATCACCAAAGGCCAGTTGGTGATTGTTGCTATAATACTGAAAACTATCATGCTTTTTTTTAATGTTATAAAATATACATGCTCATGGTAAAATAAAATAGTAGTTAAGGACATAGAATTTAAAGTTCCTATATTCCCCATCAGACGTAACAATTCCTCCTAGCCAGGGCAATTAGGCAAGAGAAAGAAAGGGCGTCCAAAGGAAGAAGTCAAACTGTCCCTGTTTGCAGATGACATGATCTTATATAAATGGAAAAATCTAAAGACTCTACCAAAAAACCCTTAGATCTGATAAATTCAGTAA